AGGTTACATACATTTTCATTTTGGAATTGCATAATAGCTTAGGGGTGCTAATGTGCATGTGTGAGCATAAGTGCCATGGCATATGGAAGTCAGAGGACAACTTTTGGGAGTTGGTTCTCTCCTTCTAATGTGGGTCCCAAGGATCAAACTCGGGTCATCTATCATGCTTGGCAGAAAGTGCCTCTACCCACTGAGCCATTTCATCAGCCAGCATTAGTTGTTTTAACACTCTAGTTTGAGATGTCTCCCAGAAAAGGGGTTATTGTCTTTATGTAGGTAGATTTTACAGAGGGTTTTATTTTTTTATCAGTTATGTTGAACTTTCTGACTCTCATCTTGTTAGAAATGCAAATTTGATAAGAGTGGGCGTGAGGGGCTTCTTTCCATTCTCATAGCCCCTTAATTTTCTCTGTCATTCTATTCTGTGTCAGCTGCATGACAGTATGAATGTACTTAGTACATATGAATTGAACATTTAAATGGTTAACAAACATTACCAGAATTTAAAAAGTTTTGAAAGTTGGCTTTCGTAGCTGGGTGTGGTGGGGCATACCTTTAATCCCTGCACTGGGGAGGCAGAGGCAGGAGGATCTCTGTGAGTTTGAAGCCAGCCTGGTCTACATAGTGAGTTCCAGACCAGCTTGGGAGAGAATGAAAAAAAAACCAAAAAAAAAAAAAATAGGGCCCTGTAAACTCAAGTTTCCAGAAAAATGCCAGATCTATATTCTACAAGGCTGATTGACTGATTAGAATATAAATGATTGTAGAGAGTTAGAATGTTGCAGGTCCAAAGCCAAACCATCTTGAGCTACCTCAGTCCCTAAGCAACCATTCACTGCCTACCTGTTGGACATAACGTCCTTGTGGATGTAGAGTAACAAGTGTTTGGGAATGTACAAACAGACCTCTTAGCTTCCACCAACCCCAAGATAAGAATACCAATAAATAACATCCAAGGCCTATAGTAGGAGACTTCTCTGCTTGACAGTTGTAGGGATGACTTTTATAAAATGGACATATCTGGGCTAATGACTTTTAATTAACCTCAGCAAAACCATGTGTTCATGTGTCTTATGACCTGGACAGGATCACCTGTTTCCTGGGAACCTCAATTGGGTACTTCACCTAAAAATGAATGAATGGATATGAGTATGCTAGAGAATTAACATATCAAAGTTCTGAAAGAAGGCATGCCCATCTTCACTGCACAGACCTTCCCATTATGAAAACTAGAAAGCTGTTTATCAGAAATTATGTGCTGGATCTCTTCCCCACTTTGTTTTCTCTTAGGCTGTAAGGCCTTCCTGCTCAGTCCCCCATTTGAACATGGTGAACTGAACACTGTTAAGGGCAGGAAGAAAAGGACAATCCTACCACAAGGAGATCCTGTACAACTAAGACAAAACAAACAAAAAACTATTTTCAGTCTGTTTATTCTAAGAAAAAATAATGGGTAACTTGGTAATTAATTTAATGAAAATAGTGTCTCCTCTGAATGTTCAGTTTGATGTATGGTTAGTCTTACTCTGTAGGAGCTTAGGAGAAC